GGGGGGGGGTGTGGGATGTTCTCTTTCATCCTTTTTTAAAGAGAACTTTAATCCTGATCTAAAAGTTAAATTTTTAGAAAGCTAACTATTGCATTTTCATTAGCTGTAGTCCTGAGCCTTTGTGTAAGGAGCCTCCTTACTCTAGACTCAGTTGAGTTAATTTCTTCTCAGAACTTGGGATGGCTTCAACTTGGCAGAAAACTCAGGAATTCTACAACTGGATTCTTGAAAGTGGAGGTAGGTAGAGATGCTGTCTAAAATGGGAATTTCTGCATAAATAGAGGTATCATGAAAACCAAACCTAGGAGGGATGCAATCATTATACTTGCCCACGCCCACATTTTCTTCAGTAGGTAGATTTCCACTTTTCCTTCTCCATGATCACAAGCTTCCCTTAAGTCTTGAAACATATCTCATTGACCCTCCAGTTGGATCACAGTAAGGAATGAAGGGATGGGGGATTTCCCAGTGGGTTCTGACAAGAGAAGCAACAAATGCTTGGGATTGCCTGTTAAGTCTGGAGTACTAATGGAAATTATTTTTTTAAATGCATATTGATGTGTCATAGGAAAGCTTAGTTGACCAAAGACTTAATACTTTGGGGTTTAAATTCTTTGTGATGTCAGTAAAACCTGTTATCAAATGAAATATTGACAGTATCCACTCCTCAGTGCTTGAAATTTGATACCTTGCCATGAGGAGACAACAGATCTTCAGTAGTTAGAGGTTCAGTTTGGTCCCAAAGGGCTCTGTTTTATCTCTGGATGTAAAGCAAAGCCACAAAATGCCATGAAGGTAGACCAGCAGGCCTGCATGATGGCTTTGGCAGGAGGAGGATGTGGGGTGTAATGGTCAGATTGTAGATGTTTCAGGACTTGAATTTTACAAGAGTGTAAATTGAGATTCAGGACTTCTGACAAACTAAATTCAGAAATGGAATATCAAAGAGCTCCTGACACAGCCATCATAAAGAACTGTGAGGTTTAGAAGGGATGGGGATTAACAGAGTTGTCCAGACTGGTATGGTATTTATAAAAAAATGAGGGAGTTTGGCAGAGTAGTGATCACACTGGGGACAGGAAAGGAAAGCATGAATAGCACCTGGGGACATTTCTGCTGATATAACATATCCTGGGTGATAGCAGGATTAGGAGGAGGAGGTGGCATGACAGAAGATTTGTTGAGCTTCCCTTTGCTGTAGGACCAAAGAGCTGTTTCAGCAGGGGTAAGTGTTTTGGCATTTCCCAGTGAATTCATGCTTCTGAGGAGAGTCCACTCTATGTGCGGGTATAAAAATGAAGAAGTGGAGAATTTCAGATGTCCTAAGGATTTTAAGGAAGTAACACCAGTGATTGAAACACTTCTATTATTTAGCTGTAAAGATTTACGCTCCCGAGGAGCCACTGTTGCTTTGGCTACTCCAGCGCCACCCTGCTCAGTGTCTGGGATCACTCCTTTTGCCCAGAGAGGGCTCCAGCTCATTCCAGGAAAGATCTGCCTTCCACTAATGCAGTCCATCCCCAAAAATTGGGCTAAAACCTTTGTGATAAAGCCTTTTGGCAAAGTCACAATAGAAGGACTGGGGTGCATCTCTGTAAAGACACAGAGACACCATTTTCTTTCTCCAGCAAGCACACTGAAGGGAGTAATTAAATACAATTAAATATATGGTGCCAGCTGTGGCTGTATGTTTTGCTTCCCAGATGCAAGGACAGACCCGTGGCCACTGGTGTACTCCCCACTTCCTGTCACCCTGATCTTCACCTCCTACCTCTTCATGGTGGCACTGGGGCCGTCCTATATGCGGCAGCGGCAGCGGCTGGAGCTGCGGGCTCTGCTGCTCACCTACAACCTGGCCATGGTGGCATTGTCCAGCTACATGTTCTACGAGGTGAGGAGGCAGGATTGGCTCCTAGGTAAGCACATGAGAAGGCTTTGAATTCCAGAGCCTCCAGATTCCAGGGTTTGAACAGCTTTTGCTGAAGGGAGTGGGAGCTGGCTTGGACATGTCCATGTTTTACCGCAAGAGGAGCGGTGTTGTCCTGCTGCACTTGATTTCCTCAATTTCTCAATCCTCCGGCCATTCATGAAATCAACACGGGACTCCCTTCATCCTGGATGAATGATTTGCAAGTTGAGATCTCCCCATTAAGCACAAAGTGTGTGGAGGATGTGGAATGGCCTCATTTCACCTTGAGTTTGGCTGGTGATGGATCCATCTCTGAGGATGAGAACCACTGGTCTAGTGGAAGGTGTTCCTACCCAAGGCAGGGGGTTGGGACTAGATGATCTTTTAGGTCTTTTCCAACCCCTTAACATTCTGTGATTTTCCAAAGTTGGCAGTTCTCTCCAGGAGTGCCAAGCACTCTATGTATTCCTGCTGCTGAGAGTGTAAAGAACATTTTTTTCTGCTTGTTCTTTCCACAAGCCTGTCCCACCTAGTTTATGGAGACCACTGAGAATATTCATGGGAACAAGGCCAAAATAGGTTTCAAAAACACTCTGATGCCAACAAATATGCCGTTTTACTTTGTATCACAAGCATTACATTAATACAAATTGCCTTTTTTTAACAAATTCAGCTCCATCTGAGGACAGGTGTGAAAATTGCTTTTCTGTGCTTGGTCATTCAGTTATACTAATTACTTGGTCCAATTTTTGGCTTTCCAATCAGCAGGCAAATTCAACCAAAACAGAACAGAACAGCCTGGGATCTTTGCAAAAGTGAACAGTGTCTTCTCAGAGAGCCTCAGAAGCCTAGAATTCACTATTACTGCTGAAATAGTTGTGAGCCCTCCAGCCATTACACAAAGAGTTACAAATCTTCCCAGGCCAAATTTACTTTTTAAGACTCCAAACAGAATGTGAAGTACTTTGTTTAAGGTTTTTACTATTCGTTCATGGATTTTCTGGCAGTAGCTATAAGACTGAAACCCTACTACCTTAGCATTAAATTGTCCTTCTTTTTTAGATCAGACTGATTTTTATTTGCTTTTGATTTGTTTCAGTTTCTGGTTACTTCAGTCTTGGCCAACTACAGCTACCTGTGCCAGCCAGTGGATTACAGCCGGAGTGAGCTGGGAATGAGGGTACAGTTCTGCAGAAAGCTTGCTTTAGGCCCTTTCCTCCCGTAGCTATGCAGATTCTTTTGCTCATAAATAGCAATTTGCATGGCTAAGAAGGCTTTGACCCCAGCTTGTTGTTGCCTGTAAATCTATTCCACTAAATTGTCTGCTTCAACAGTTCTTGCACTTTGCTTTAGCTCTCTAAAATTAATCATCTCAGTCAACCCAGCCATCTAAGTTTGCTCTTTGATCACTGCAAAGAGGGTGATCTTACCAGCTGAAGTATCAATATTGCAAATTACCTTTGAAGTAGATGTGATTCTTCACATGGATTGTAAGGATTCTGGATGATTGCTTCCAACAAGAAAACTGATTTTTATATCCTCTGCCTTGCATGACAAAAATCTTACTCAACACTTCTTTTAGTAGAGGGGCTTAGCTAAAACTATTTTTTGGTCATCACAAGGGGTTGTGTCCCACTAGCATCAGCTTTCCAAAAATGCTGCATGAGTTTTTTTTCTTTGAATTTGGAGTTACAGTACCTTGCTTTGAACAGATGTAAGCCTCATATTATCTTTTCAGTTTTTCAGAGTCTTGCCATCTAGACAAAACAAAACAAAACAGAAAAGAACCTCTTAATTTTCCCCCTCGCTGCAGACCCCGGGCGGGCAGGGATACAGCATGGTTGAAAATGTGTCGATTTTGGGTAAAGCTCTCACCGCTGTGTCTTGTGCTGCCCAGCAGATGGCAAGAGTGTGTTGGTGGTTCTTCTTCTCCAAAATCATCGAGCTGCTGGATACGGTAAGGAGGGCTCGGCTCCTCAGCGGGACCGGGGCTGGAAACAGATACTTCCTTGTCAGAAAGGAGCAGCGTGCCAGAGCTGATGTCCTGGGTTGATCCTGTGTTGGTTCGCTGCCTGTCTCCATCCCTTGGCTGCACACACTCCCTCCTCAGCATCCTAACTGAGGCTGGGCACAGTGCTACAGGAGAAGCTTTAACCCTGGCTGCTGCCAGGTGGGCTGCCAAAATTTTATCTGCTGGTGCCACACAGGTTCTGCTATTGCCTGGCTGGCTGATTAACAGTGGGGCAAAAAAGGAGCTGCAAGTGGACAAGTTCTGGCGTCTCTGCTGCCGTGGATTATCCCAGAGCTGTGCGCTAAAGGTTTATGTCCTGGAGGAATTGAAAGTCCACCTCTTTATGGCTTGTCTTCAGGTCTCCTTCTGCAATGTAAATGAACTAAGTGGCCTCTGCTTGGCCGGCAGAAGAAAGCTGTGTCCTAGCCTGAAACTTCACAGCTCCTTGGGGTGTAAGTTTGCAACCCACTGAAATGTGAATACACATGTGGATTCTTCCTAGGCCTATTGCCAGGGGTTTGGCCAATTCCCTCTCTGTTTGCATCAGCAACAAAACCAGGTTTTTGCCAGTCCTGAGTGCCTGAAAAGTAGATTCACTTTTTGTTGTGTGTGTATGTATGTACATGGTGAAATGTAGTGACCTGACATGTATTCATCTGGCAAAACCATTCTCTTTACTAATGCAAATTCCAGGAAGGTTTGGCCATTCAACACAGTGGCTTTTTTGTGGATTATTGTCTGGTAGCAGTAAATATACAACCTGTGTCCTGAAAAGGAGCAAACACAAGCAGCTGTGAATTGTATGGAAGCTCAGTCAGAGTCTCAGATTCTCTTTGGACTTTTGGTCCTGAATCCAGACATAAAACTATTTGGGGCTTTGTGGAAGAAATTCTATCTTCCAGTTCCCCCTATAAGTTCTATTGTGTTTCACCAATTTTTTTCAACAGCAGAGGAAATGGGTGTGGGAGATTCAGACTCATCATTAGCTATTTGTATAACTTTTTACTGAAGTTATACTTTTTGTTTACTTTTTGTGAAATTTTTGTCTAAACACATCAATTCAAAGTTTTCCTTTGCCTGGCTTCTTTCAGGTTTTCTTAATTCTGCGCAAGAAACAAGAGCAGGTGACTTTTCTGCACGTGTACCATCATGGCTCTATGCTCTTCAACTGGTGGTCAGGGGTCAAATACGTGCCTGGAGGACAAGGTATGCTTGTAAGAGACAACCTGGTGTTTCTCATGGGGTTTTTTTGGCTCTGGAGGTAACATTAACAGTGCAGATGGGCTGAGTGGCAGGTAGGAAGTTCACCTGCTTCCAAAGGTGAGAAAAGCATGTGCATTTTAGATGATCCCATCTGCTCAGCTCTTGGGGCTGTTTAGGCTGCCATGTTCACTGCCTCACCCAGAATGAGAGTGTGCCACCAGAGTGGGTCCAAACAGACAAAAATAACATCCTACAGGTCTGTGTATATCTCCTCCCAGAGCAGTGCTCCCTCACTCCCCTACCAGAGGCCCTGGGGCAGCAGCCCAGGTTTTGGCTCTGTTTTCTGTTCTGGCTGTGCCCATTTTTGGGCTGTATCCAGAATGATGCCTCGTTTTACTCAACAGAAAAAGAAGCATCTGGGCACTACTCTCAGTAGGCCCTATACAAAATGCTAGGAAATTCTTTTTTGGGAATTTATTTTGGCTACACAGCCTTGACACCAGAATGGCTTAGGTCAGATAATCATGTCCCTCCTCTGCCTTTGAAGCTCTTCTCTGTCTCTGAACAGTTGGTATATGATGGGTATATTGTGGATGCCACAACCCTGGCAGTGTTCAGTGCCAGATTGGATGGGGCTTTGGGCAATTCTAGTGGGAGATGTGCTCCAGGGGCTGGAGCTAATGGCCTCTAAGGTCCCTTCCAAGCCAACCCATCTGATGATTCTGGATGCTGAAGGAAGGGAGAAGCTGGTGTGCTTCCAGAGCAGAGCCCGGGTGGAATGTTCATGCACGGGGTGGATGTGATCTATTTTGGAAGCATCATCATAGTGGCTGTGAGCCCTTCATAGGGCTAGCCTGGAATGGGTCATATGCCTCGTTCACCCTCACTTCTTCCCTCCTCAGCCTTCTTTATTGGGATGCTGAACTCCTTTGTCCACATCTTCATGTATGGCTACTACGCCCTGGCCGGCCTGGGACCGCGGATGCACAGGCACCTGTGGTGGAAGCGTTACCTGACCATCCTGCAGCTGGTAATTAGCTCCAGGTGTTCTTCCCTGCCCTCCCACGGGTGTGATGGCCCCTGCTGTCTGTCATCTCACTGCCTCAATCTCTGTTTGCTGCCCATGGAGAGCAGCATGTCCCCAGGTGCCCCCAGGTGCCACTCTGAGACCTGAAGCTGTGGGTGACCTGCTCCAAATGCTGCTTTCACAGGACTGTTGGAGGTCTTCAGTGACCACATCAAACTAATTATCCACAGCTTCACAATGGGAAGGGAAGAGAAAAATTAGGAATTGGATTCTTCCTTTTTATGTTGTATAAGGAGCACTGAAAACAGAGCTTGATATGAAGAGGTGGGGGCTGCGGTTCAGGGAAACTTTGGATTCTCAATAGGGCAGCAGATTGGGGAGCCTTGATTCAGTTCCTTCAGAAAGGAAGAGGGTCTCTAAGTGCACGCAAACAAGTAGGTTCAAAAGAAATATGTGAATTTTTCTCTAGAAAATCCCCTTGGATTTTCTTTCTCTCATCTCTGATGAAGTTACAAATCTGGAAAACCCTGTGTTTTTCAAAGATACAGCATAGATGCAATGGTTCAGACAAGGACAATAGTTGTAAGAGAGTTTTTTTCACTCAAAAAGAGGCTTTGCAAACCAAAAGTATGCAGTTAGAAGGGAAGAGAAAGAGGATATGTATAAAATAGTGGTGTAGTGGAGGCTGATCCGGAATTCTAACTTAGCCTGCATGGCAAAACAGAACAAGAAAGCATTGCATGAAATAAAAATGTATTTGTAATGCAAATTATAGCACATAAAAAAAAAAAAAAAATAATAGCTTTTTGGTAGGTAGAACTCATTGCTTCAGGCTATTGAGACAGGTGACTTAGTAAAATACAAAAAAAAATAAATTAATGTTTAAATGAATAAAGGTAGTATCTGGAGTTCCTCTCTGCAAGCTAAAATACAAATGAAAATAACTATGAGTATACTAACCTAATTACCACTGGGGAAGAGGAATCTCCCACCTTCAGTTTCCATATTCCAACATCTAAGTTACTGCACTGTGGCAGAGAAATGGGCCAAGGGCAGGAGAGGCTGGATTGGTTAAACCTTCAGGTTTGATGGACATCTTTCCTGGTAAGAAAACATTGCTGGGCTTGAGAGGCAGGTTCCCAGAGATGTCAGGAGGGGCAAGCAGGTGATCCTCTGGGTTGAGGACACTGCTAGGATGTTGTGATAGCTGTGATGGTCTCAATGTCCAGCTGAGGTGTATCTCATGTAGGTTCCTTAATCTGGCTGCTTCTTTTTTCCACCTCTTCCAGTGCCAGCTGGTAGCCATTGCTGCTCATTCTTCCTACAACCTCTTCACAGAGTGCCCATTCCCTGATGGCTTCAACACCGCAGTCTTCGTCTACATCCTCAGCCTCCTAGCTCTCTTCCTACACTTCTACTATTGGACCTACATTAGGCAAAAGTGGGAAAAGCTGACTTAAAGGAAATCAAAGAGGACAAACAGCACAGACTGATGAACGTGCATGTTTTCTGCTGCTTGTGATGTGGTCTCAGGGAGAAAATGTATCTTGTGAGTGTGTGTGAGGCTCATGTCTTGCCTTCAAATATCCAGTTTAGGGAGAAGAAAGGAATGCTGTAAACTCAGGGATTAAGGAGCTGAGGAGCACACTTAATTAAGATGAGGCCAAGCTAAAACAAGTAGTCACCAGCATAGCAGGCTTTGAGACATTTGCCAGATAAGGTCTTTTTCCCTTTCATCTTTAGCTCAGTGTCCCGGGTCCAGCAGCCAGCTACAACTCCCTGCCTCATTTCCTAGGCTGTAGAGGGTTTCTTTGCATCCACAAAACTATCTCAGCTTGGTGTTGTAGATCAGGCAGAGTCATGTGCCTCCAGCCTGGAAATCAATGTCCAGGTAGTAGCAACAGCCAGGAATCCACAGGGACTGCAGGATGCGCTCTGCTGTACACTGCATCCCACCCTGTACTGCTAAGGAAGCTCCTGCTAGGCCTGAGGTGGTCCTGGTGGTTTAACTTCATATAATTATAAGCAGAAAGGAAACTGGACATTAGGTTGTCTGGCTGGACAGGTGTCTTCACCGTCCTGAAGCTAAAGAAGGCATTATTAGCACTTTAATCCTAATAAGAAACTGGTGTAGTAAGAGTCACCATGTCTCATTTTCTGGAATGCTTATTTCTCTTTGGTTGCTCTCATACCAATAGAGTATTTTAATGCCTGAAGATTGGTATTGGTCCTTATAGATACCATAATTGAACTAGAAAGAATAGATTGATGTTCCCTATTCATAACTTTTTTTCCTCCAATTTGTTATTCTTTTTAATACTGTTATTTTTAAATTTTGCTTCTTGTCAAACACAAGGAGTTGAACAACACCATAAGCAACCACCTCTACTACCTAATAGTGTAAGAATTAATGTTAATGTATAAGAATTAATGTATAAGAATTAATACAAAATGTATAAAATAAATTCACTGAGTAGTGCAAAGCTGCATAGCTCCATTGATTTTAAGGTATCACTAATTGGCTTCTATTTTTTTGCTCCTAAATCAATTACAGCTAGAATCTGGCACTTATATTCATCTGCAGACTGTTAAATACTGTTGGAGTTTTGATTCGGTAGTGCTTTGAAAGTCCTAATTAAACTACAAAGTGGTGATTATTGATTGAATCCTGCTCAGCTGATTAAAACAGGTATTACAGAATAGTGGTATCTTGTGAAATACAGAGGTGTTGGAGGTGAGGGTGGGAATTAGTGAAATGGTGCATTGCTGTTGCCAAGGCAAATCCAGCTGAAATATAAAGAAGTCCAACTCCACTGGGAATGTCCAGAGGACTAGAGCTAGCCTGAACCTAGCAAATGGATGTACCCCAAAAGACCGGTGTGCCCTACATCAATCTGGCGTCAAGTGGCTACAAAAAATAAATTCAACTTGCTCCTCACTGCTCTGTGTTCATACCCCAAATGTTTCCTTCAGCCCCTCCACACACATGGAAGATAAAACAGCATTCTGCCATTCCTCACCCTCCTCCCCTTCACACACAGCCAGCCACAAGGGACTTGTTCACACTGTCACCAGGACCCATCACAAATATCCTTCCTTCGATTTGAGCAGTCTCTCTTCTGATTGTCATTGGTGAGCATGAAAATCACAGCATCTGTGCTACTTGGTCTTCTTCCTGCCAAATATTTTTCCATGCTAATTAATAAGTAAATAGTGACACTTTTGCATACTGGAGTTTACTGGAATTCTACTTTTGTCAGAATTTGAACTAGCAAATCCCTGGGTGGATCCTTCATCCCTCCCTTTGGAAAGACAGGAAAATGGGATCTGCTGTGTATCTAACATATTCATGTGGAGGGTTTCCTCTGGGGGCTCTCCAGAGCTGAAGACTCCATGCAAGTAAACTGTTTCATTATTCCTGTCCACTTAATGATTCATTTATGGCCCTCTCCTGCTTAAACCCATCAGCACATTTAGCCCTCATGGTAGCACATTTCCTGCAGTTGGCTAAATTATCTGCGCTCACAAAGCAAACTAATGCTCTTTTTCCTATACATGAGTAGGTTTCAGCCTCAGTTTCCCCTCACTTTAATGTTTTCAGAATATAGTAACTAAGTTCAGTCATAATTTTATATCAGAATAAGCATCATGTATTTTGATTTTCCTTGATTCATGACTGCTTAAAAATTAGAAATCAGCACAAAATCTGAATGAAACTACTCAATGCTTTTCCGCTCTTAAAATATATGAATTTGTAACCACACATTTAGCTATAAAAGGTATAAAAAAGGAATTTCCTATAAAAGGGCAGTCTATGGAGTTTGTGTCTGTGTGTGACAGAGCAATGGATTCTGGAGTGTCACTGGCCACTTTGTTACATAGGTGGTAACAAAACATTAAAGTACAAATCTGATGCCTGACACCTTAATCAGACACCACTGTCACCGTTTATTTTAGACATGAAACCTTTGATTTATTCCTGTTCCTCTTCCTCACAGCCGGAGGGAGTGGCCTGATCTTGAATGAGTAAGAGCTTTTTGTTGGTATGACTTTGATGGCATAGGATGAAAATGAAGTATTTTCAGTTGGCTGACAAGAGGGCTTGAGTTTGCCCAGAAATACCACGCCTTCCATGCAGGAACAGACACTGGCATGGAGCACAGCTGTTACAGAAGCACTGATGCAAGCAAAATTCACTTGTGAGGGCATTTGCACTGGCAGTGAAGAAAAAACTGCAGTGGTATAGCTCTGTGGCTCTGCAGGTTGCTGCTTCAGATTCCACTTGTTTGTGAGAGAAAACATCCTCCTGTATTAAAATTATATCTATGTATTAAAATATATATTAAAATATATATGAATATATATAATATAAATGTATACAATAAAATATATATCATATTATATATGCATTTAATATATAATATATATATATTATATATATTTATATTTATATATATAAAAATATACCCGTAGGAAAACCCACCTGGGCCACCCTGTTGTGACAAAAAAGCTGAGAGCACAGCTATGTGCTCGTGGAATTTAACAGAAAATGAAGGCACCAAATGGGATTTCCCCTCTAAGATCAAATCCCTGGAATTAAAGGTTATACCACAGCAAAACACTGGAAGTCAAAAGGGGCAGGAAATTATAAATTGCAAGCTTGGATGGCTCATGCTGTCTGGTGGAGTCCCAAGCTATGGAGATGAACTGAAAATATCCTGTTGCAGCTGGATTTGTGAAAACCCTCTGGGCCAAATGCTGGTTCTACCAATATCAGTGACAAAGGCTGCAGATTCCTCTGGAAGGATACTGGCACAGCTGTGTGGAAAACAACATGCTCAGCTCCAAAACTATGTTTGCTGGGAGCAGGCTGGAGTGTTATTCAATCTTAAGAGATGACTTTTGAGGGCATGGTGGTGTGTAAGTCCCCCCCTTATAAAATGTGGGTTGTGAGACGTTCGTAGAGCAGTTTACATGAACAAGATGTAAAGCATAGTGTAAGTAGGCTGCTAAAATGAATAATCTTGATATCTGGTAGTGCTCAGCATCTTTCCTGCTGTTCCAGTCAATGTAAATTATGGATGTTCTGATCAAATTGCTTTTGAATTAACCAGACCATTTACTCAATGCTTACTTTCTCTCTGAAGATAAATGAGAGGGATTCTCATTTTAATCAAAACAAAATGCAGAAAAGAAAATCAATTACTATTTAATGTTTTTTCCATCCCTGTGTGATGGAAAGTTTCCAGAGGAACTTGGGCTTCAAACTGCAAAGCAATATAAAATACAGGGACGTGGTTTTAGCTATTGAGTTTTTTATACACTATCAGAAAATAAGGCTGTTTGTTGTTTTTTTTAAAAAAGGTGAAAGATTTACTCTAAACAATTAAGCTAAAGCAGAATATTGTAGATTGCTTCGCCCCCCCCCCAAAAAAAAAATCTCTTGATGCAGATGTAAACCACCTAGAAGCCAAACATTTAAAAAGATCAGCCAGACCTATACATAGAACAGTGTGAATGTGCTGAATTCATTAATGAATGGCTTTGTGGATTAGGGCTTGATAGATGGAGTGCTCCATCCAGATGTTTACTGTGATTTGTCAATGGCCTTGTACTTAATCCTCCTGGACAGGAAATACGAATCTTTTCTCCAGGGTCTCCCCCGGGGACTGTGGCAGTGCCTCTCTCTGTCCTGAATCATCTCAACACGGGATCAGGCTGCTGAGGAATTAACCAAGTGGGGGAGGCACGGATTTGCCTTTAACCCTTTCGGTTTCCTCTGCTTCAGATGATATCCTCACCATCTGCCACAATCTCGCTATTATTTAGTCAACACATGGAGAAAGGAAAAAGGAGTCACCCGTGTCACCCCGGCACACAAAATGTGCCAAGAGAAACAGTGAATAAGTGTGTTTGGGTGCGGGTAGGCTAATGCAGCCCCTGCAGACTGTCCCCATGGCTCATTTCTCAGCATGTGGGACCTCCCCATGGAATGGGTCCTTTATCTCACTGTGGGACACTGAAGGACAGCTCACAGCAGCCACACCTGCTATGGAATGCCACCGTGGGAACTGGAAGAGTAGAGGGAGCTGCAATGAATGCTAGGTTTTGTTGTGGATGTGCTGGAGTGTAAAGGACTGACTTCTGGCTAAATCACAAGTACGTGGACAAACACATTCTTTTCAGGGAGTGCCTGGTTAAAACATTAGTAGCACATCTCAGCACTGTTCTTCCCTAGTCTGCATGTCATCCTTACTCTCCAGTACCTTGGCTTTCTGCTGCTTTTCAAGGGAGTGTTCAGGGTCTTTACACTGAGCTGAAAAAATGAAGGCTATTAAATAAAAATTATGCATTAAAATTCTCTGCTTGGAGTAG